AATCCCTTTGTGGAGAGTGGGGGGTGAATGGAGAGCCACAGGTGTCCTTTCAAACGGGAGCTTAGGGCCGCGGCTGTTGGGATTGTGGCTTTGCTTGTTTCAAAGGCTCAAGCACAAACTTCAGTAACTGCAGCTTTGAAGTCTTGTTGTCAGCAATAATTTGGAAACTAGGGACAGACTGGTCATCTGTATCATCGACGTGGATCTTGTGTACAGTAGGTTCATTTTCGGTGCGTTGGAATTTGGGCTTACATGGTGGACGAAGAGGAAGAGTTGTAATTCCGTGAAAGGAAAGGTTGTTATCGACACAGTATTTATACCCCATGAACTTCTGCACATTTTGTCTCAATACAACCACAAAGATATTTGTGAAAGACCAATACAAAAGGTCAGACAATTGTGAAATGAAAGATGTTTTTATATTTAAAAAATACATTTTATAATGCAGTGTGTGGCTTGCAAAATCATTCATCCCCTATCAGTTAATAAGTTGTGGAATTGCCTTTTTATACAAATAAAGCTTAATGTATTTTGGGGTATGTATAAGATTTTCAAATCTTCTGTGCTGAACAACTCAAGCAGTCTCAGATTAAGTGGGGAGCTTTTGTCAAAAGCAGTTTTTTCCCCATCTACGGGTAACACTTCTCAATTGGATTTTGGTCTCGACATTTAATGGGCCATTCTAACTAATCAATATGTTTAGTTTTATACCATTTCATAGTATGAAAGGCTTTATGTTATAAATATTGTCCTGATGGAACAGCTCAACCTCACTGTAATCCATTTGCAGACTCCAAAAGCTTTTCTTCAAACATTGTCCTGAATTTGGATCCATTAACTTTGCTATTTGCAAAGATTTTCAGTTGTGCCATACTCTTTCCATCCCAGATGACGGATTTTATCAATTCAATTTAATTTTGTAGCATTCAAAATCACAACAACAATTGTCTTGATGCGGGATAGAGCACCACTGACTCAGGTTTACAATCCAGGCTTTAGAGTCCCACCAGTATCTTCAATGTTTGTATCTTCACCACATCTCACTGATGTGGTGCTTGGACTTCATGATGCTGTTTAGTGACCAATAACCTCTTTTCAAACCTCTGAGACCAGCACATATCAGCTGTAATCATACTGATTAGACTGGTGGCACACAGGTCGACATGTGACACTTATCAATCATCAAGGCAACTGGTTGCACTCAAGAGTCAGAGATACTTTTGCAAAAGGGACACTTTTAACTTTTGAAATAACTTTGCATTTTGCTTTTGCTTCACAATTGTCACTTTGGATAGATTTTTCACACAAAACATCCAAATAAAGATAATAGTAATAGATGTTTATGTTTGTGGTAGTAACGAAGCAAAATGTTCAGGCCCATCCTTTCTTGTAATACAGCCATATTATTTTTTCTTGTCTCTGGAATATAAAGAATTTAAATAACAAACAATAGATAGATACCTATCATCATGCATTGCTATTTTACATAATCAAAATAACTATCACTTATTTTTATCATAATCATTCATCCATCATAAGAATTACTGTTGAATTAAATGACCAAAAGATGACCATAAAGAAAGTATTCAAAATGCATGTCAATAAACTTCATACATTTTGTCTGCGTTTGATCCCAGCTCAGGTCTATTGCCAGTGTTTATAATGCCTCAGAAATGTCCTTTAGGCGCTGAATGTGAGTAGGCGCTGAATGTGAGGGATTCGTGGCATTAAACACACTGTGCAGACTGTCTAAAAAGGATTGTCCAACCAACACAAGCTAATTCACATATAATTGACTGTGCTCTTGCATTCTGTACGTGGATTTGGAGTGTACGCTTCATTGTACAACGACAAATTAAGCAAGCGAGGCTCAAAGGAAACTCTGCTGCATTCACTGCAGGGCTACCCAAATCACCAAACACAACTCGGGCCCTTTCATCCGCCCGACAACTCCGCCCTTCTGGTCCTTCTTGTAAAACTTAAGTCAAAAAGCAAAGCACTCGTGGCTCTTGTCTGGTCAGTGCTGGTCGTCTTTTAAAAACATTCCTGCAACACTAGCATCAACTTTAATGATGCTCTCAGCACACATTTGTAGGTGAAGAGGAATTCCTGTTTTGTTTTGTTGTTGGAGGAGATTACTTTTAAAAAGCAGGAATGACAAGCTGATGCCGGCCTAACTTCAAATAACTGGATTGTGAATTAAATTAGCATCACATATTTTCCTTTTTTCAAATAAATCGCAATGACTTAAAAAACAAGATTCCAGAATAAACCTTATTCAGATGTTGATCAAGACGTAAAGCAACCTTATAAACTATGCACTGTTTAGTCTTTTCTGTTTCTATGGACATAATACAATTACAAACGAAACCAACTATAGGGGTCACATATTCATTTTCCAGAGTGACGATAGGAGGAACTAATACAAGATTTCTGCTGGAGCTCAATGTACAGGGAGAGTATTTCATTATAAAGAGCTCGATCTTGAGAGTGGTCTTAGACATCAACTTTATTTGAAAAACCTATAGACACTCATCTCCACTGCCTCAATGTAACAAATATATTTAGGCATATTGTTAGGGAAGACTTTTGAAGAAGACTTACATGCTGTGAATTTGTTACATCAACACAATATTCTGTACTTCCCTAAAAAGCACAAATAGTTGCCGTGTCTAAAGGTTGATCTTCAGGTGTGTGTGTCCACATAACACAGAAGTGACCAATGATCAGGTATACAGTCTATGGACAGCGTCTGTGCCCTGAGCGAGGGCCAGAGCAGGTGCATGCTGCGATGCAGTGGGACTTGTAATATTTATATCTGCCACTCAAACTCTCTGGGTGAAGTTTCAGTAACACTGCATTTTGTTTGTTTGACTGCCTTCACTTTAAAAGTCTTCAATAACACTATGCAAGAGTAAAGGCTGTTTGTTCAAAAACAAGATGTAAGTTACTGTTTATTCATGACACATAACACTGTGGCGCTCCTCCTTTTAACACAAGAATCTAGAAGAAGCTGTAATATTGTCTGAAGAGGAGAAAGAGGACCTCAATTGACTGCTATTATTATATATACCGCATTAACCAGGTCTGTAGAAAATATATGAACTTTAGTTAATCGTGGCATCATCCTTTGTGGAGGATTGTTTTCCGCTTCATCTTTTTGTTCAACAGTGTCCTAAGGCAGAGAGTATTGTACAGCATGCGACAAAGGCAGCTGGGAAAATATTTGAAATATTTCCCAAAAATACATAGATTATATTTTAATCAAAAATATCAGTATGATTTAGAAAACACATTATCTTCTACTACAAATAAGACATCACAAGGAACTCAGAACTGAAACTGGATCAGGACTAAAACAAGTTCATCAATCAAGTCAATATTAGTTTATCATCACAGCCAAACAACAATCTTTCAGAATACACACACCAACTCAAAATACAGCATATCACACCCTAAATAACATAAATATGTATGGAACCAGAATTGTTCAAGTCATCACTAATCCAAGACAAATTAGAAGTAATCCTAACCCTGAATTAAATCCAGGTGTAAACTTGACTTAATCTAGAATCTTAATGAAGCAACCCAACACCAGGACAACCAGGCTATAAGAAAGTCAAACTATAGTGTGGCCATCTCAAACTAACTCTTTGAAACACTAGTTTCTTTGGTCTTTGGTCCTTAGATCAGGTTCAACAGGTGCCTCTCCTCCCTGCACCAGTCCGTGCATCTATCTGAGCAGTAAACCTGTGTGATTAGAAAGACCCCAAAGGCAAACAAGAGCCAGAAGCCGAGCACACACAGCTGGTCCTTGAAGCAGCTCAGATCCAGGGTAAACAAGTGTCCGGTAGGCCTGAGCCGTCGCTGCATGAGCTTGACAACAATGGCTAATACTTCACTACATCTGGACTATGACCTGGCTTAGCAAATTTTTATTACATTTGGACTCATTCAATGGACTGTTGGCCCAGAAGAGGATCACAGGATCAGCTCTGGGCTAATAATGTGTCTAGGTCTCTTTTGACTGTAGAAATGGAACATCAACCCGGTTTAACTTGAAAAGTGCCGGTCATGTTAGACATGAATGGATGAGTTTCATTGTTGCAAATATAGGAGAATGTGAACATTTTATGTAAAATAAAATACAATGAAAACAATCCGCCCAACAGTTTTCACCCTTTCTGATATGATATCTGATGACCACAGCATTTTTGAGCGTCTTTCCTCTGGGAAAAGACCTAGTTTTTTTTCTTTCTTTCTGTTTGCACAATCTGGTAAAAGTCTGAAGAGAAACGTTTTTAGTATTTACACATTTTAATATATCCTTGTTTCACTGTGTCAATTGCTCTCCAATTTGTTTTGTTTTTTTGTCTCCGATAAACAATATATGGTTTTGTGGAATAAATGGGTTTGTCTTATACTTTAAGTCTTGAAAATTGGAATTTAATCACTTGTGCCACCTGGTGGTCTTAAATGTAATGTTTAATTATTGACCTCGTATATATCTGCATTCATATGTTGATGCTATGGGAAAGTGTTCCATTTACAATTAAATTACATATAAAATCTATTGAGTGGTAGTCCATACATTAATTGGTACATATACGTTCCATACACAATTTACTTGTCAAAGAGAATATATTGGCCAGCAGGCGGTGCTCATCGCCCTCTGCATCACGAGTTCACTGCAGTCCAGCAGACTTGGTCATCTCACATCAAATATATTTTTTTCCTGTTCGTTTTGACGTGTGTCAGTGCAGTGTATGTCAATCTATATTTCCAATACTGGAGAAAAGAAAAAAACAGTGGTTCTTATTAAGCGAGTCATGAGTTAGTTACAGTTAAGTTAGTTTGTTATTACAAACTAATGAGTATGAGTTTACTCATACTAAGGGACTTTTTCTGCAAATGCGTCTGCGCTTGTCATAACTACGAGAAATCACACGTAAGTGGTTTCTGTAATGTAGTTTCGGCACGTGCTAATGGGAGCTCGGGGAATGCTGTGCGCGAGTGGCACGCGGACAGATGTGCCCCCTCCCCTCCTCCCCCTAAGCTGCTGCGTCCAGAGTCGGCCACAGCCAATCACAGAGCGCAGCGCCTCTTTTGCGCTGGAGCGGTGCCTCCCATTGGCCCGGAGCGTGCCGCTGCAGCCCGCCTCGCGTGCCATTACAGATGTCTGCTCCTGGAAGCGCGAGCGAGATAAAAATAGTGTGAAGTGTGTTTGTTTAAGACAGGCAGGGGCAAGACTCGCCTGTGGTCAATAAATACTAAGTGAAATTATATGATGCTGTACTTAATAGCACGAGGCTGTGCCACGACAGAAACAACACACAGCTGAATAAAGTTGAATGTTTAGACAGTAAATAATCTATAATGTATCATAACTGCTGGGCATGCTATAAAAACATCCAAAACACTTTCGTACTAAATCAATTTATTGTAAAATATTCTTTACTAATGTCTTTCAAATCCTCCAACGCCATTTCAAACTGGACTCATAACGACATATTCGCTCTTTACTACCTTTCAAATGATATATTTCTATCATCACAATCTGAGAACTCCCTTGACTCTTGTTCGGACACTGCAGACAGCGCTCCAGTGTCCAGTAGACACTTTGCACAGTCCACATTCTTCCACAGCGCGCACCAAACAGCTACATTTCTGGAGGAGCAGGGCGCATTCCCCTAGCTGTTATCGCTTCACAGCCGCCGCCGCGCTCCTCGCTCGCTTTGTTGTTTGTCCCTGCAGGGCTGATTGCGCAGCGCGTGACTGACGGCCCGCGGGGGTGTTGTCCAATCAGCAGCCTGCCCCGCGCCCAATGGGTGAGTCCTTACTGCCATTGGCTGAGGCGAGTGTGGGAAAGAATGCAGAGAGGGTTTCACACGAACTGGGAGCACGCAGGCCGGCTATAAGTAGCTCCTCGGCGCGTGTCAGTGGCAGTAGCGCACCACGCTCCTGGAGACGCGCAGTGAGCCACACCTGGATGTTTTAACTTGGCACGCGGAGACACTCTGACTCTCCTACTTTCCCTTCAGTCAGGTTTTTGACAAAGGATATTATATTTTTGCCAGTTTTCGGCTTGGTTAATGATGCCTGCAGATACAATGGAGAAGCAGACCGCATCACCCATTGCTGGTGCCCCTGCGTCTGTATCACATACTCCGGACAAACCCAAAAACGCCAGCGAACACAGAAAGGTAAGGACATGCTCTATCTCCAAACTGGATCTTGGCGGTTTTTGCATTGCAAGACGTACTGTGACTGTTTACAAGCCACTAATGTCGCACGTTTGCTATTTACAGTCGTCCAAACCCATCATGGAGAAACGCCGCAGAGCTCGCATCAACGAGAGCCTGGGTCAGCTCAAGACCCTCATCCTGGACGCTCTCAAAAAAGATGTAAGTTCAGAACATTAACTGCTTATTAGATAAGTAATGCATAATTACTCGATTAAACTGTACGCGCATCTGAGCAATGAATAATGTTATATGTCTACTCTTGCAGAGCTCCCGACACTCTAAACTGGAGAAAGCGGACATCCTGGAGATGACCGTCAAGCACCTGCGAAACCTGCAGCGCGTTCAGATGAGCGGTGAGTTCAGATCCACACATTGTACTTGACGATTACAAACTCATACAGAGAACTCTACTGTAGTTTTGTTTCAAGTTACTTATATTTGTTCTCTGCCTCCCCCAGCAGCTCTCTCGACTGATGCCACGGTTTTGAGCAAATATCGTGCTGGTTTCAACGAGTGCATGAACGAGGTGACGCGCTTCTTATCCACCTCTGAAGGGGTGAACACAGAGGTGCGCTCCCGGCTCCTGGGACACCTGTCCGGCTGCATGGGACAGATGATGTACCCGCAGCAGGCCCCATCTCAGCAGCACATTGCACAGCCCCTCCACGTCCAGCTGCCCTCCACTCTTCCCCTCAGCGGCTCTAAACTCAGCCCCGCAGAGGCCGCTTGTCCGAAAGTCTTGGGTGGTTTCCAACTGGTGCCCGCAAGTGATGGACAGTTTGCCTTCCTCATCCCCAGTCCGTCTCCCGTTATACCGCTCTACGCAAACACAGGGCCCGTGGCTGTGAACGCCAGCCCGGTGCATGGCAGCTCCCTGCCTCCAACAGCTTCCCCGGTCCACGGCATGACGTCCTTCTCCGGTGCTCCACAGGCAGTCAGCCCGGTGAGCGTCAGCACCGGCTCTGAGAGCAGCGAGCCCGTGTGGCGGCCCTGGTGATCCCAGGAACCTGACTGGACTGTAACATGGGTGTACCCGTGATGTGGGACCTGCTCGTCCCTAGTTGTTCCGTTTTAAGGGACAAGCCTGTTGGCTTTGGTTCTTAATTTATTGCTCACTCCAACATTTGGATGTGGATGATAAAGTGTTGTAAATGCATTTGGACATTACACTGTTTAAAGTACTTAGTATAGTTTTGTACAGAGTTGTTTATGTTTGTCAAACCAAAGTGTTTTATATTTTTTTCCTTTATTGATTGTGTTGAACACGAGTTATAAAAGTGGGATTGACCCATTGTTTAAATAAAACATATTTTAAAAAACATTGTTCATCTCCAATCTCATCTTAATGCCTCCATGTCGTGCATAAAAGCTATGGGCTCTGGTTCCTTATAGGGCTCTATTTATTTGCATACAACTCCCAACATATAAAAAAAAATGTTGTCTCAAAGCCTAAACGGCTCTTTAGACTGTGAGACAACTTTGATAATATAGGCTCACTCAAAAGAAGTTTGTGGTTTTCCTCAACGCTCAGATAGAGAGTGATACTAATGTGATAAAAGTATATTTGAAATATTTTTGCAACAAACTATAGGTAATTAAAAGTTTGAAAGAGTCTCATCCTGTATGCAGCGGGAGCTTTAAAAGCTTTAAAGCCTATTCAGGAGCCTGGGAAATGGTTGATGTCACGAACAGATTGCCTCAGTGAAAAGAGAATATGGAAGGATCCTCGCTTCCTTTTGTGCGTCAATTGTTCAGTGGCACTCTATAGGTCTTTACCTCAGAGTAAAAAGCGAGGGAACTTTGAGCGGGAGAGAGGGGTGGTAAAGGCCCTTTTACGCACAGACGTCGCGTGGTTTTGCCTGCTTCTTTCGTGGTCGTAAGGATGTCCGTGGCGCAGGCCGTGTGTCTACCACTTGCAGCTCACGACCCTGAGACTCGGATTAAGTTACAGACTGGAGACCGCCGTTTAAACATCTCCAACATTCAGTGCTACCCCAGCTACAGACGCAAAGCTGGAGATTCTGTGACGATAAAACGCGTCAAGGAGTCAGAGGATTGTATCAATATATGTGTGCCTCTAAGTCTCTAAAGTAGACATGCATTAATTTTTCTAACATCAAAGCAAAGCCAAAAGCGCCACCTGTGTGAGGTGAAATAAGAACTGGTTTCGGTGTGGATCCTCCCCAGGGCATATGTGTTTGTACTGACTTCACACTGAGGTTAGATGTGATCGAAACTCAGCACCGCGCACCATCTCATATCAAAGAAAACAACAAACTCGAGACCATTGTGTACCTGCATAGACATATAGTTAACTGAAACAAAGACTAACTCACTACAAACACGTTACGTTACAGGGCATGAATAAAGGATAATCAACTGATGGAAGAAAATATGACTCTCGGCATCAGCCCACACATGTCTGCCTTCACTCTTACATCTGCGTCTGCTTACAGTTTACCTCCTTTTTATTCCAAAAGTAAAGTCTTAATTGGCCTAGGTGACTAGTTTCCCTTTTGCAGACAGTTGGGCATTGCTCATCTGTGTAGTTGTGCTCCAGCTCTAACCTCGCACTGTGCCAGTGCCCTGTGCATGACACTGCGCACAGACGCACTCACACCAGTTGGCAGCGCGTGTGGCTCCTGCGGTCGCTACTACTGCCTTCGTGTCTGCGTTAATAGTTCAGAGATGCTTTTGTGCAGCTGAGGTCGTGAGAACTGAGCGAACTAGTCCGCCTGCGGCCGGGCACTGTGCCAGACAGTAAATCCCCACTGGCGAGTGCGAAGGTGAGGAGGCGAGCACACGCGTGAAGTGCCCGAGAGGGCCGTTTACCTATCCAGCAAAACAAATACACCCGGCCTGTTGGTCTGTATTCACGATTGGACGGCCGGAGAAATATGAAAACGGGACTTTTGACAGTGCACTGCAAATAAATAAACGATGCCTTTAATTTAACAATTTAAAACCATTCACACCCAACACGTATAATTATCTAAACAATGGGCCTATACATTATAGCGAGCCCCATGTACAATGCATATGAATAATTACTATATATCTGCATTAAATGAAGTCAAACCAGGGTCAGAAGGTAAAACACATTATTCCGTTTATATTATATCAATGAATTTGTGAACAGTATCCTGATATCCTCAATACAGTTTTTGCTCTGACTCGGTTTAAGGAGAGCATTTTCTTCCCATACTTATATAGAGGATGACTTTACAACACCTTCTTGACCACTGCTTAAATCAGGCGGGAACCCATTTCCACGCTGAAAGAGATTCCCACAGAGGGCACACAGAGTCGTAGGGCAGTGGCAGTGCGTCCCCAGGGAAAAGTCACCAATTGTAGGGGCTGTTGGGGTCATCAGTGCGGCCACAAATTACCATTCTCATTAGCGACTGAATAGTGGTCGCGCGCTCAAACTTACCGCCAAAGTTAGAAAAACTTTTCCCTCCAAAAAAAACATCTTTTGTTGCCACCAGGTTTTGTTTACCCCCCAAACAGAAAAGTATTTATTCAGTTTCCATACAGTGGGAAGCGCATTTGATGAAATGGGGGATTTCCGCATGACATTCTTTAGCTCTGATCCACAGGCACAATAGCCCATGTAAGAAAAAGGCTCTGCTCAAGTTTATAGGTTCACTAACATCTGTAGCTGCAGGCAAACACTCAGAAATCATGTTTGGGAACGTTGCTGTTCAGTATTATCATAAATGACAAATTCAATATAGTTATTGCAGCTGCATCATTGAAGTTTAAAAAAAAAAAAAAACATGGTACAGGTACATTAAAACAAGCTATTTAGTTTGTTTTTTCGTCCAAAATATAATCTTGACACTATATATTTTTGTCCTTAGATCTTAAGAAACCCCAGAAGGACGTGACATGTTCTGGATGCTTTGGACACAGGTTTGTTGAAGGGTGTGCATGTGTGTGTGTGCGTGCTTGTGTGTGTACATGTGTTCCTTCATGCACCTGCTGCTCTCAGGATCAGCAGTGACAGGACATGTAAAGGCAAAGTGGTACACAACCAGTAAGGCATAAAAACTGTTGGATCTGAAAGTGATAATAGGGGAACATGTTTTATTTATTTTTATTAAAATGATGTTATACTGCATGGCAGATTCCAGGAGAGGCAAAGGGAGAGGGGAAGACTTGAGAAAATAAGCCCAAGAAAAGTGAAAGTGGTGCATGTGGTTTGCGCTAAATGGTTGTTTGCCACAAGAACTTGAGATGAGAAGGTGTGTTCCCACAAGCTGGAAACAAGAACTTTTGATTCTTAAAGTTCAGGTGAATAATCACAATTCTCATGGTTTATTCCATTATTCCAGTACAGTGTACGTCTATTGCTGAGTCTTAACTGTACACAATAGAAACATTTGGGTTAAGTGGTGTTAATGGAGTATTGACAATGTTGAAATAGGAAATTATTATTATATCGTATTAGGTTATATGATAATTTGTTTCAAAGCAATACAACTGAAAGTTAGATATTCTTTATAGTGATATGAATACTGCTGTCTTTTAAAAAAGCTATGTTTTGTCACTTACTTTTGTGTCAATATTGTCCAGAAAAAGATTTTTTCACTTTTCATTATTAGCCAATTAGATATTGCTTTAGATCAAGATCAAGATCAGAAGCAAATATTAGCTTCTTTTTGGTCAGTAATAATAAGGTAGAGGATGTCATAGGTTTCCTCATAGACTCAAACCCTGAGCAGGCCTTATAGTGTGACAGCTCATTAACAGGTGTGCACTTTGATGTCCTGACCAGTGTATTTTGGGCAGAGCAGCACTTATGTCGGCCCTCGTGAGAGCTGTGGGCAGTGGGCAGACGCAGGAGGTGATGCGGGGTGGCAGGCCTCCCGATCACATATCACAGGAGCGGGGTGTTGTTGATCCTCGCCGCTTGTCTTCGGGACGTATTTCTGAGCCCACTTTTGGCTTTTAGCAGCTTCTCCTGTTTCAAGGCATAAGGTCCGGGGCGTCCTGCCTGTGCCAGTGTGCAGATTCCAGGGGAGAAAGTGTCTTCATGGGGCTAGAGGTCAGGCCCGAGACTCCGAGGTGGCCTTCAAGGAGCTCCCCCATTTATTTATGAATTTATCTTTGAGGGGTCGTCCCTTCCCAGTCTGCAGCTGCTTATTCTATTCCTGCGGAGAAAGTGCCCACCTGTATACTTGGATTGTAGTGGACAAGAAACTTTCATTCTGCTGTGGAATGAAAAAACACTGAACTATTCAATTTTCTGTTTAATTGACGTATTATTGCTTGGGTACCACCTTGCTTTCCAAGATATACCCATAAAAAAATCCATAAAACTTGTTGCTTGCTCTCAAAACCGTTTTGTTTCATAGTTTTCACATTTTAGGTCTTCGTCACAGCTTTTTCAGACAGAAAATTGAAAAAGAGAGGACCACTTCCAAATCAGATCCCATTTGGGGATGCAGCTGTTTGTGGCCTGATGTGAACAAAACCTTTTACTTGGGACTTCTGTTGGGGCAAACAACATTTATTATTATTTTTAAGATGCGTTCAATTATCAAATATTTACAAATAGGAGCTCTAATACTGTATGCAAGACACCATTTTCAGAATTATAGTACAAGAAGCTTCATATCTGCAGCCTGTGAACACTGGTCAATTTCGATGGTCTTGCCTTCAAAGTGGACATCTCACTGTCCCCTCCTAGTGTCCAAATTCTGCCATGACCACGTTTATTACACCATTGAGTCATGTTGCAATAAAGTACAATTTATTTATCTATCTTTCTGCAGTTGAATAGCATGACGATGTCCTGCTTATTAAGGGCTCCCTGCCAAAAAAAATTGTTTTAGTGCCTGTTTTAGCTAAAAATTGACCCCTCTCAAAGTATCTTATGCCTAATGACCTGAATGATACTTCTGACAGATAACGTGATGCCGTTTTATCAGTACCCATACCCATCAGTGGCATCCACTTTCCCAGACATGCCCCCTGTGTGACACTGAGCAAGGCTGTTCTGACACACACACAGATAGTAATCTGTGTGTGTGTGTGCAGCAGGAAGTGATGTGTGGTCGAGTGCCACAGTGAGAAAACACCTTTGCTATAGTTCTGCATCTTCACCACAACTTATCAGTGTAAAAGTCATTTGATTGGGAAGGTTAAGGGTTTCATTTCAAAATCAAACTTTACTTTATGTATGGCAACAATAAGGCACAATGTTTGCAGTAATCATCAACTTTGGTTGGCCGGCCAAATTTTCTGTGATGTGAACAGTTTAATATATAGTAATAGTAATCGTTAATACAATTATCATTTAACAATAAGTGAACAAAGCTAACCGAAAGTGAAAGATTGATGGCTATGAACATGCCTGGGCCTGCCTGATCTTTTCAGATCCTTTCTATTGTCCAGATGACTCAGAGACAATGTATTAAACTGACCTCATGCTGGCTCATGTTTCAGTCTAGCAGAATTAGCTAGCAGTATCCTAGTGCCTCTTCCCATCCCTGTCCCAGAGGATCATGGGAAGTCTCAGACCAAGTCATATATTTAGTGGCTGATTTATGGCTTTCTGACAAAGGGATAGTCTGTCAGTGAGCTGTTGAAAGGTTCCGTTTCCTGTTTTAAGAGGAGCTGACAGACCACTGTCCACCCGCATTATCACTTTAGCACATTGTCCCTCCTCAGGACGTCCTGCAGCCCCATCCCACGTGTGCATCTGACGACACACACTAATGTTCAAACCACACAGCACTGGCATTCTTTCTGTCTTTTTATGTTCAACTATTCCAATGCCAAAAATACATATAACTGACTGGAATACAATAAAATGGTGGTAGTCAAAAGTGGTTTTATGTTTTGATATTAAGTTAATTAATATTAGGTTATTGTCAAAATTTATACCACAATACTTTAGTTTATATTATCAAGGTGATAACAATGCTTAAGTCAGTATTAACCATGAAGCCAAAAAGAGAGCAAACAACACAATATATGACCCAACCTATGACAGCAGTTGTCAGCTACATCTATAATGTCTATTACTTTATTTATTCAACACATTTAATCCAATCAGCAATATTTAAAATGAGTTATAATCCCACTCCCACGTACATTCAGATATAATTCATCCTTTTCCATTCACAATAACATAATAACTGCAGTCGTGTGTGTGCCTGTGGTATGGCTGGGCGGTCGGTTTTTCCTTCTTGTCTTTTCATGGCCTGGGAAGGTAAACACTTGTGCTCTTGTCTCCTCTTTGGTAACTGTTGAACGCGGGCTGCCTCCACTCGTTCTTTATTGCTTGGATTGTCATGCAAGAGGCCCAGAGACAAGTGTCAATAAGTGGATAGGCTCAGTCCAAACAAATGTGTGTAGAGAATGTGCTAAAAACTTGAATGCAGCTGGGTACACACTTTCTCTGCACGGAAACTTTCAATAACAAGGCACAAAGTAATGTTCTGAAAGTAACCTTGTTATAGTCAGATATGATGGCATGGATCACTGCGGCTGCAACAGGACAGGGTTGTGGACTTAGTTTTCCTCAATCTCATCATATACTTAAGACTTAGCAAGCAAATCACCAAATCTAATTTATGTGAATGTGTTGAATATACACAATAACAGTTCAGAGCCTACATTACATGCACATGTTGCTCTGATAGAGGGATCATAACTGCCCCTCAGTGCTGCTGTACAGACAAGTTAAACAAATGCTTTCACTACACTTTACCTGAAGGTAGACAAACAGCAGATAGACGATAAGCAGCTCTTTTAAAGCATCTTAAATGCATTTGAGACCCAACTGTGACTGCAGGACACACTCCTATATGTTTGCGGACATCCTGGAGAATCTAATTAAATATTTTGTAATTTGTAGAATAAACTCAACTTGACAAGTCTACTCTTCAATTTATCTTTCCACCAAAGACATTATGGCAGTGTTTTTTTGTTTGTTTTTTGTCAGCAGTCGTGCGGTATTTTGTGATAATGGTAAAAAATGGAGGCACTGAAGTCCTTTGATGGAGAGAGGGAAGGCCTTTTGAATCAGGATCAGGATCAGGGCATGTGGTTTTTTTGTCAATCAACTTTACGAAATAAACAAAAAAATGATGTTGGGGTGCGTGAATGTTATCAGCGAGTGTAAAGCTCAAAGACATCAAAGATAGAGCTCGAAAGTCAGGGGCCGCATATAAAAGCGTGATGAATATTTAGTTCTTACCCAACATAAACAGCATTTTAAAAAACAAGCAATTAAGCAAAAGGAAGACTGCAATTCTGCTCAGTTTCAGCAATAAGGATCTTCTGGTGACTTTAAAATACTATGACCGAATGTATATAACTGTACAAACAAAACTGGCTCAAACCTTACGATAAAAAAAAAAAAAATTCAAATAGACTACCATGGCAATAGATTAAATTATAATTGATGCATCTGCAGACTAAATCCAACCCTGAAGTCCCAACTGAAGATAAATCTATGTGAGTAAGATCAGAATATGAAAAATATGTTCACTACCTTTTCAGTGAATATAATATGAACATGAAAGCCCAATTTTATTTCTCTTAAAGTGAACAATTTCCACTTGTTGGCCTTGTCATGTGACGCCTCATAACTCTTCAGTCACTAAAAGGCCTCATGATGAATATAAGGCTTTGATAAGATTAGTAGCAACTCAACACAAGGGGCACTGTCTCTGCACTGTGATCCACTCAGTCCCTGTCTGCCCATAAAGGCCTCCCTCTGAGCCTGTCTGGACCCCTGTCTGTCCTCGTCCTGTCTGTCCCATGTCACTTCACTTCACCCTTTGACATGTCTGCATGCACATGGGCGCATTCAACAGTTCTCCTGACTTTATGTCCTTGCTGAGGTTTAGAGAAGGATGTTTCAAGGCACACCTATCAGCTTCTCTGTCTCAGTATCTGTCTGAACATTATGTGAGTACATATTGTGACCAATAATTGTAGTGTCATGCATGGAAGGAAACATTCATTGATATTTGTGTAACCAAAAGTACTCTGGGTCCTATTCTTTCTATTGACATTATATTGATCTCATTCATTCTTTTTCTCAAACTAAAGGATTTAAATGTATGCACAGATGTATACACATAACTATATATTACTCAGAGGTATACACACAACTATATATTACTCAGATGTATACACACAACTACAGTATATATTGCTCAGATGTATACACACAACTATATACTCACATGTATACACACAACTATATATTACTCAGATGTATACACACAACTATATATTACTCACATGTATACACACAACTATATATTACTCACATGTATACACACAAATATATATTACTCAGATGTATACACACAACTATATATTACTCACATGTATACACACAACTATATATTACTCACATGTATACACACAACTATATATTACTCACATGTATACACACAACTATATATTACTCACATGTATACACACAACTATATATTGCTCAGATTTACACACACAACTATATATTACTAGAATACACTTGTTTTATACTTCTTGTTTTGCTAAAGTCAGGGGATTTGTACTTGCTTCTTCATCATGCTAAAGTTGGAGATTTCAGACTTATTTCCTTATTATGCAAAAGACATTTTAAAACAGCTTTTTTATGCTAGAGTTAAAGATTTTATTTTATTTGTGTTTTATTATAGTATAGCGTCAGTCATTCATTTATCTTGTGTTGTGTGCTACTGTCTGTAACTTGTGATGCAACACTGACATTTTCCCACTGTGGGATCAATAAACGATCTCTTAATCTTAATCGTGAATATAACAAAGTGAAGGGCATTATTTCTTTGTTTTGTCATTGGTGGTTAGTTAGAGCTCTCACTTCTCAGAAAGAAGGTCCTGCGTTCGACACATAGTTTTCCATCACGTGCTTATTACCCATGATGCTTTGCACGAACACCACGTTGTCAGTCTGGTGTCTATAGCACT